TCACCCATATTTGCTATATTTTTCATTTTAGTCCCCCCTCTTCCAATCCCTCCCTTTCAAACACCCCTTATTTTGGTGGTTTAAATTGGTATCAACGACATGTTTCTTTCTCTGTTGCTAGAATCCAACGACCCCTCTTTCTCTTATCTCTCAACCAGGGACAAAAAAAATAACAAAAATAAACCTCCGTAGTAAAATGGAATTGGAACAATTTTGAGGGATCAAAATTATATAATTTATGTGATTGTTTAAGTTGGAGGATCAAAGTGAATGTTTTCAAAACTTATGGTACGTCATCTATATTTGTTGTATTTTTCATTTTAGTCCCCCCTCTTCCGATCCCACCCTCTCGTAATAATTTAAAATTAATTCCCACCCTTTCATAATAATTTAAAATTAATTGCTCTTTACATAGGTCTTGACCACTTAAAAGAAAATTTTGAGGACCAAACTTAAAAAAATAAATTCTATTAATCATTGATATGATTAATAATGATAATGAACTCCTTCTATACCAAATAATGGTTTTAATGCGTTAATTAATTGCTAATTAACAATGACATCAAGCTCAAGGCCATATATAGGTAAAGTACGTAGTCTTTCCTGGAACTCGACAGTTTCTTATTAAACAAATATAATGGGGCGGCGCCCTCCTGGCTGAGGACACCTTCAATCCCATACCCTAGACATCACCATTAACCTCGAATAATTTATCAAAACCAAGAAAGGCAAGGATTAAGAGCTTTAATCATCTTCTACTTCGCCAGCTGAACTGACTTCAACTTTCTCTATCCACCAGAAGGTCTTTTTTTTTTTAAGCACTCAGTGATGTATGCGATAAGAAAAATTGAGATTGCGATTGAATCACCTAGAACAGGAGGTCAAGTCATGAAATCCCCTCACATTATAAATATTCGTAGGAGGGGGCCACTCCACAATAGCTACCACCTTGCTTGATGAATCTACACCATCAACATATATCAGAAAAGCAGCCACTAGCTACATATATTAGCTAGGCTTCCTTGACTGTGCTGTGTGCATTCCACTTCACTACGTACTTAACTATGGGCTTCCTTGACTGTGCTGTGTGCATTCCACTTCACTACGTACTTAACAATGGGCTTCCTTGACTGTGCTGTGTGCATTCCACTTCACCACGTACTTAACTATGTGCTTCCTGCTTTTTTTGTTCCTCTAATTATTCTCCATCCAATATCCCCATATCTATCATTCATCCACCCAGGATCATATCCTACTGATCTTCTGTCACAGCAATAAATTAACAGTGAAGGCAATCCCAACGAACAATAATGGATAATCGTGTTTAAGGAAAGGTTCAAGGTTTCGATCAGTATTAAAATGTTATGTTTAACGGTCTGTGAAAATATGATTACTAGCTAGAATTAATATCCGACAACCTGTATCTGGTGCAATGTGATAATGTTGAGTGCAATTGCGTCTGCCTTATTGTGATAAAACAGGTCGTATCTTGAGGTAATATATACGTTTGATAATTACACCACAGCTACATCTTTGAATCCTGTAATGAACTTCATTGAAATGCAACTAGCATCTTATAATTGGATCTTAAAAACTAGATAAATTATCCTGCAACACGACAAAAACAATTAGAATCTGCAGTTTATCGATCCAAGACTGTTGATGGAGTTTTTGGATTGTTTCTTAGTTACTGATGTGGGGCATCTTTCAACGTTTATGATTCAAAACGAAAAGCATCATTGAAGGCTTTGTAATGGAGATCATAACGGAAATTCTGTCACCCCACCCAAACATCTAGTTGAACCACAGTAGTGTATATGGTTGAGCAATATTCTGTCTCTATTTACCATTTCCAGTCTGGAATAATTAGGAGTCTAGAATATTTTTTTGAGATTTCTAAATAACCCTCTTTAAATGCATCTTTAATTTTGTACATAGTAGTTGATATAGTAGAATTTGATTAGAAATGAAGGACGTTGTATGAGAAAAAAAAAATGTTACAAAAACACCAATAAAAATATGTCTGTATAGGGACTCAGTATAACTATTCCTTTGGAGCAGCCACGGTAGAAATGCAGTTACTGTTTATTATTTTTGTGTTTTAAGAGTTTTTTGGAAAAAATTAAAATATTTTTATTTTACTCTTTACTTTAAATTAATACTTTTTTAATATTGTTTTAATAATTTTGATATGCTAATATTAAAAATAATTTTTAAAAATAAAAATATATTATTTTAATATATTTTTAAATAAAAATCATTCTGAAAAACAACTATAATCATGCTTCCAAACAAGATAGTCTCCGATTATTAACCAAAATTTGCAATATATATATATTTAGTTTATCATTTATAAGAATATGATAAACTTGCAATCATGATCAAAATACTAGTGCATATACTACATAAAATTTAAATCATGCATAAAAGATTGGAAGTATTTTCTATCATGTATCCTAAAATATATATTTTAAAAATATATTTTTAAAAAATCAATAAAAAATTATTTATTTATAATTTATTTAAATTATGTTAATATTTTATGTTAAAAAACTTATATTGAAAATTAAGTTATAACAAGATTTTAATCTAAAAAAATAAGTAAATCTCATTTTTAATTTCACCTCAAATATTCACACTAACCATGTATTAAACAAAATTTCCAACATTAACCTAAAAAGAGTTTTGATCTTTATTAGAATAGTTACAATATGCTGTAATTGTCTCGTTGAAGATGATAAAAGGGTGTTTGAGAATGTAATAACAGTTATTTTTTAAAGTGTTTTTCATTCAAAAATATATTAAAATAATATTTTTTTATTTTTAAAAAATTATTTTAATATTAATATATTAAAATAATGTGAAAATATTAAAAATATATTGATTTAAAATAAAATAAAAATAAAAATAATTAATTTATTATGGTAGTTATTATAGTTGTAATTTGAAAATAATTATTTTATAAAAAATATTTTTAGTCGAAGTTGATTTAATATTTATGTATATTTAATTAAAACTATGATTGAAATTGAGGTTAAATAAAAAATAATTTAATGAGTGATTAAGAATTTTTTTAAGGTTAAAATAATTTAAAATAATATATGTTAATATTTATTATTTTTAATTTAAATATTGTAGATTTATTGTTACTATGTCATAAAATAAAATTAATATATCATAAAATAAATAATACTTTATATAAAATATTTTTCATTTTTCCATTAAACTATCTACAATTCCATCATGTATGAAATATATTCGACAAGGACTACAATTTTTTTGGTTTCTTAAGCACGGACAACATAAGGTAAAATATAATCAGAAATAATATTGAAATTGCGATCAAATTCTATAAATATTATGTCATTAAGCGATCTCTGTCTAATTTATATAATGTCATTGAATAATATTAAACACTAGTTTTTCAAATAAAACATAATTAAAAAATAAAAAAATAATTTTTATTTTTATTTTTATTTTACTGGATCGGACTCGGTTCAATACATATTGAGTTTTGAATCAGACTTGGTCCGACTAAAACTGGTTCGACCAGAACAATGGAGCTGACTATACTATTTAATAAATAATATAACATGCTAATTGCACTCTTTACTAAACAATTCATTTAGCATGAATAATGTATATAAAGTAGTAATTACTTGCTTTTTTTTCCCCTAATGTTTTGGATGCAAAAATATTATGAAACCATAAATAATAAATTATGTTTTACTAGACAGATTATATCTATATTTTAAATAAAATATAGATGCAATTTCATTACCAACCAGCCTCTAAGCTTGAGCTTTAACAAAATCTTTTACTTAGTATATCCTTCGTATACATATCATCCTCAGGGCCACTTCTAAGATAGTTGACTCCTTATGTTTGATGGTACTTTTTCCCAACCTTTGCTTGTCAATGGTTCAGTCTCGACTCTCAAGCTTAAGGTGTACGCGCACAAGCTGAGCTTAAATTTATTTATTTTTATATTTTAAAAATATATATTTTTTTAAAATATTTTTTATTTATTTTTATTTTTTAAATAATTTTAATATGTTAATATTAAAAATAAAATATATTATTTTAATATATTTTTAAATAAAAAATATTTTTAAAAATAATTACGATAATATTTTCAAACAAGTGTAACCTTCCGAACCCTGTTTGCGGGACTGATGGTGTCACCTACACTTTAATTGCATTGACGATGTCTGCAATGGTGTGGATGTTGTCAAGAAAGGGGAGTGTTATGTCTAAACACTTTGAGTCCATAAAATATTAATGTCTGCTCCCATCATCCCCCATCTTCCTTTTAGTTCATAACTAGAAAATTGTTATATACTCACAATATATATATATATATTTTTTTGGTGTAAACACTTTATTTTTATCGTATAAAATTTATTGATAGATTTATTAATAAAAATGTGTTATTAACAAGTATATATCAATGATATTATATTTATTAGTAGTTTTATTAATTATATGGGTATTTGGATCAAATTGTGGATATCTCAACTAAACTCATGAATTTTAAAATTAACAATTATGTAAATCTTTAATAACAATCATATTAGTAACTATAAAAAAATAAATTTTTTAATTTTTAATTTTGCAACTATAAAAAAATAAATTTTTTAATTTTAAATTTTTATCATTTAACTATCTACTAGATAATTTTCTATCCATTGTTTTTTTACTGAGGGATGGAACAAAAAATTATTATCGTTAGTGATAAAAAGAAGCACTGACCATTCTACAAGTTTAGACTGACAGATTTATTTATTTATTTTTTTTAACTATCATGTTTTTTATGCACCTCTGTTATTGTTTTCGTACATGTAAAGATTTGGAGGCAAATATTAATAAATGTGAATAAGACGAGACCTTAAGTACATTCAACCTGGATCCTCTAAGGCCCAATAATCGGCGTAAGATGGGCCTGAGCTTCAATACAATTAACCCACTACGCTTGCTTATTTGCTCTCTCCCATTGCTTTACACCGCGGCCTTGTGCTGTTTCACCAATCGAATCGAAGACAAGTACCGTTTTCCCCTTGCCTCCGTCTCCATATTTTCCCAATTTTTAGAGTTAGGTTAGATCCACCGATCCTAAACCCTAAACAAAAAATTAATCCATGTCGAAAATCTCAGCAATTTTCACTTGCGTCACAATTTTCTTATTGAGTAGTCTCTGCTTCCCGATCGCGGTATCGGAAACTGGCGCTGGAATATTGATTCAAGAAGTAACAAGAGAGGATGGTAAAGGTGATGTATGCGCAGGATTAAAAGCACCCGCTTCATGTCCGGTCAATTGTTTCCGTGCGGACCCCGTGTGTGGCGTCGATGGCGTTACTTATTGGTGTGGGTGCGCTGACGCCTTGTGCAGTGGCGCTCGTGTTGATAAATTAGGGGCTTGTGAGGTTGGGAGTGGAGGGAGCTCTTCTCTTCCTGGTCAGGCACTTCTTTTGATTCATATTGTCTGGCTTATCTTGCTTGGGTTTTCTCTCTTGTTTGGGTTTTTTTAATCTGACAGATTTACGATTTGACTTTGATTCTATGATTATTTTCCCTGTATGTATTATCCGTGTTGTTGTGCTGGGGTTGAGATGATTAGGGTTTGTGCGAGATTTTTTGTTCGTGTAAAAATATTCATTTGAGTTAATATCATACTTGTTTCATTCTTTTTTACGGATATTATTTCTATGGTTCTATGTGACTTGATCATCTTGGTGCATCTGGCATTGTATTCGAGGAACAGAAACCTCTCTCCTTTTTTTTTTAAAACACAAGTTTCATTGTAATTTACGTTTTGGATGGTCTCTTTCGTTCTTTCCAGAGGTTGTCTTCTGTTAGTATGTAAGAATCCTTCCTGTTAGCATGTAAGAACCTATTTTATTTGCTGTGCTTGTTTTGATCTTTACAAGGAACAATATCATTTAGAGTTCAGTTGGTGTGTGCACAAAAATCGAAAATTAGGCTCATATAGAAACATGTAAGGTCCTTGCGGAGTATTTTAGTGGGGAGGGATGGCACTACTCTCTCCACATTTTAAATGGAAAAGGATAGTCTAGAATTGTCTTAGATGCATTATAATTTCTGAAAACAACGTGTAATGTGCCCACTTTCATTTCAAAGTTACATTTATCTGATTTATCGACTATCATGCTAGCTCTCTTTTGTATAGACAGATCGACTTACAATAAAAATTGCTAGCTACTCCAATTCCAAATACTACTGCTAGTTTATGGATGTTTTTTTTTTTATAAAAAAAATCTTTGATCATTCCCACAGTATTAACTGGAGCCGCATCTCGATGTTCTCTGCATTCACTGTTTCATGCGTTGAAAAGGACCAAAAAATTCGAAGAGCAAACTTTCAATATGAAGTAGCTTCACTATAAATCTTAAACTCTCGGATTTTTGCACGACCCCATTTTTATTTGTGTGCCTCGTTTTTTAGTTTTCGACACCATTTTCTTTTCTTTCCATTGCAATTATTTCGGTGTAGGTATATTCATAAAATAGCTGGCCTCTAAAAAGTGTTTCAGAATAAACGACAATAATAGAACCAGACCGAGCATTGCCAGTTCCACGCACGCACTACATAAGGATATCCTAGTGTTTATCAAACGAACATCAGGGGGCAAGAAGATGTTCCATTTAAATATGTAGAGATTAGACAAGAAAACGACTGCACTAAAATTTACCAGTCAGCACAATTGATAATTGCTTATCCAAAGCATAGTAAACTTCACAAGAGGTTTGACCCGGCCAATTGGGACCAAATGGTAAAGTTTTGAGTTAATCTAGAAAAATAAAATAAAATAAAAAATATATTTGAAATTTTAATATTTCACATGAATTTTTTTTAAAATAATGTATGTGAATGTAGATTATAAAAAAAATGTGAGACATGAAGTATAGTATAATTATTCCACATCAAAAAAGGTAATACAATTCATTTGAATTTTGGCCATAAAAAAAATATAATATAGTTATTCCATATTGAAAAGTTAAATAATTTATGTGAATATATATTATATGTAGTTATTTTATACCAAAAAGATTTTGAAAAGTTAAGAAATATTGCATGTGGATATAAATTATATATAGTTATTTTATATTGTATAGTTAAGAGACGATTTATGTATATGTAAGCTACTAAAAAATATAAGATATGAAATGTAATATAATTATTCAATATTAAAAAATTAAGAAATAATTTATATAAATATAAACTATATATACCTATGTAAGAAACAATTTAACAATCTAGTGTATGCATGCTATAAAAAAAAGTGAGGATATGTATTCTTAAATTAGTTTTTAATTTTTAGAATTTATTAAAAATATAAAAAAAGTTGACTTTCACTTGAATTATGTTAGGTCACTGGGGTTTTGAGCTTTTATGATTTGAAACTATGGTAGATTAACCCAGGTTCATAACTATGCACCAAAGCACGCCTAAGCATTTTGGTTTTTTTATTTTTCATTTATTACAGACCTGTTTTTTCGTGGTGAGAACAATAAAAGCATGCCTAACATTCTTAACCTTCGCAACTTAGGAAATGCAAGATGCTCTTTACACTTTTAAGAAATACTGTTAGCCTGTGATAAGGCCATGTTGTGCCATTCCCGATAGCCACACAACATCCCAAAGGTTGATATTGCCACAGTACCAATATGCTTTCATGGTGCGAACAGTCTTCACATCCACTTCTGAAAGGATGGATAAGCAAAGTATATTTAAGTCACCTCTAATAAATCATCATCAATAATTTACCAGCAAGTTTTCCATGCCTCCCAAAGGACATTGTCCATTATAGTAACACCCCACTTGCAAGAAGAATATCAGAACTTTCATTACAAACTATCAGGAGCTTGAGGAAACAATTTGACATTAAAAATTAAATGAGTAAAACAGATCTTGGGTGTACAACAATCTGTTGTTACCATCACGTCGGTCTTATCAATTGTGATTTCGAGGGGGCAATTCAATAAACTCCCAATTCTTTCACTCTCCAGCATAAACAATAGTAAACTCATATCTACCAAATGAAGCATGCAAAACTGTCCTGTTATTTTGATCTCAAACAAAACGAAAATAAGTATCAGCGACAGTTAGTTACAGAGAAACATATTGCCTTCTGGTGCACAGGACATTGAAGGGATACATCAAGATCATTACGATCCAATGCTGCTCAATGCTTATTACATTACCTGCTGGCTTCACCATGCAGGATTGGAGATTTAGGATGCACGCTGCCGGTCCATGCTTCATATTGGCCTCTTTCCTGATGATTGTTTTGGAGTACGTTATGCATAGACCACTGAAAGAAGAGTAGAGAGCAATAAGTTCCAGAGATCTCCGATCTATTAAGGCTAACTCAACAGATAATCACGAGTAGTAAATCTCTTGAACGATTGGTCAATTTTCCATATGTGCAGGTGTCTGGTATTGGCTCTTATAGTTCTATTGCTACTTGGATCTTGCTACCGTGCATGGTGGGCAGTCCCTCTGGAAGTTGGCACGAAATCATAGATCAAGTCACTATAGTAACCGAGAAACAAGAGACAATGAAAACCAGAAGCCAAGACCCAACTAAACATTTTTAAGTACCTCTGTCTCTTCAGCATTGTAGAGCGACTTGTTCAGTGCATTACATGCTTAACTGGAAGATTTGTCAGTGCGATTTTCATTGTACAGATGGCTATCTGGCGTTCCAGTCTGTTCCATTCAGCATTCTGCTGGTCAATATCAGCAACAGAGTGGCGAGACATTGACTTGAACAACTAGTTCATGGCTCTAGATGGAGCCTGATTCAACCCAGGTATGGTACAAATGCTCGCTTCAATATTATCTGGAAGGAGTTCTTGAGAGAATCATTCACTTGCCAGCACAACTAATTCTTATGATCCTTGAACCATTCTCGTGAGGAAAAATTTGTTTCAAGGAGAATCATCTTTTTGGCGCATAATTGATGCCTTTTGGTACCTTAGCTTTTCAATCTCTTTTGCTAGAAAGTCCAAAGTCGTGTCTGTGACATGGTTTGGCAAGCAGCCTGCGTCCAACATCATTTTTAAGAATTTATATGCGTCTTTCAACCGACCTGTCTTGCTATGAACTTCAATCATAATATTATAAGTAACCACATCAGGATTTAATCCACTAGTCTTCATCTGTTCAAAAAGATTGTTAGCTTCATCAATCCTACCAGCCTTTCCCAGTGCATCAATCAGGGTGTTATACATAACAATGTCAAGGTAACCACCTTGCTTCAGTAGCTTATCTAGAACGGAGCTGGCTAGATCTGCTCTCCCCATTTTCCCCAACCCTTGAATCACCAAATTGTATGTTGCGATGTCTGGTGGGCAAACCTTTTCACCCATTTCATTAAAAACATCCCATGCCCTATTGAAATAACCCTTCTTCACAAAAGAACTCATGATAGAATTGTACGTGTAACTCAAAGGGTCCACGCCCATATCAGTGAATATCTCAAACAACTTGCAGGCTAAGCTCAGCTTTCCCTTGGCCAAAAATATAGACAAGAACGTATTCACCATATCAATATCAAAAGAGCCTGCCCCTTTAGCTTGAACTCTCTGGCCCCTAGCCAGCGAAAATAGCTGAGAAGAAAGGTCAGTGGATTTCGCTTGATTGGCCAAATGATCCATGTGCGGAGATGATGATCACTGATCAGTGTCAGCAGACGAACTCTTCTCATCCTCGGTCGCACCATCATCTGACCTTGACTTAGGGGAACTTATTGAACTCATAATTTCCTGGAGGCCACCAGTAGATGGAAACAATGGAGTATAATCCTCTCTACTTCTAGGTGGATTTTTCAATAAAGCCTCCATATCTGCCCTCCATTTGAGAACATTTGGTAATAGATTAACATCCCTTATGTGCTTCATCAACCTCTCTGTGCAATCCCACCTACCTTGTTTATGAAATGCAATCAAGAGCGATGTTATAGTAATTAGGTCAACAACAAAGCCTCTTTCCTCCATTTCTTGCACTGAGTGCAGTGCTTCCTCGAGATGACCTTTCCTACAAAGTAGCAACACAACAATGCTGTAGGTAACAGCATCCACAAATTGACCCTTCTTCTTCAAACGACAAAATAAATTGTAACCAGCTTCAGCCCTGCCATTCTTGCACAACCCATCAATCAGAATATTGTACGTCCAACATGAGGCCCTCACTCCATCCTGAACCATCTTCTCGAACAACTGGCATGCTTCCATAACTTTCCTTGCCTTGAACATCCCATCTAAAAGAGAATTGTACACTACGGTATCTGGTAGGAACCCATTGTACTGCATTTCACTAAAAATCTTTGTTGCATCTTCCATTTGATAAGATTTACAGCACCCTTGTATAAGTATTCGATAAGTAAAGGCATCAGGCTCATGACCAGACACCTTTAATTCCTCATACACAATCACTGCGTCCTTCACCTTCCCAGCCAAGCATAGAACATGAATCAGGCTATTATAGGTGCACAAATCAGGATCCAGTGACCCAGAAGCCAAACTCTTTTCCTTCATCTCTTTAAAAAGCCTCAAAGAAGTAGCAGATCACCCCAACAACCAAATGCATGAATGCAGATGTTATAACCCCATGTATTCAACTCGAACCCCCTTTCCCCCCTCAATTTAGCAAAAACAGTCTTGAATTCTGCTTTCATTTCTCCATTTCGAAGCGCAACCAACAACGCGTTGCATGCAACGCAGCCCGGAAGTGAAACACCAACAGCATTCTCTTCATTACCATTAGAAGCTTCTAGATGCTTAAACATTATAGACAATGCTTAACCCACCTGGTTTTTCTTCGCAAGTGCAACGATAATAGAATCATACATATGGGGGTTCGGGTTAGATCCTAATTCCTCCATGTGATCAAGAATGTCAAGGGAAGAGTCAAACTTCCCAGATCGAATAAATGCATCAAGCAACAACTTAAAAGTCTCGGACCCAACAACAACACCATCATTCTTCATTGAATTTAGCAAATTAGGAACTTCTTCAAGGTACCCAGAACGGCACAAAGTGGAAAACATTTCAGAGTATGTGCTCACCGAGTGTTTGTAAATATGCCGGAGAGAACACCATTTGAAAAACTCCATTTTCGTAGAGCTGTCAAGAGAGTTCCTCCGTAGGATTTGGAGAACCAGAGATTCTGATAGAGGAATTGAATCTGGGTCCAGACTACGAGTGCCCGACTCGGAGAGGGTCTTGGTTAGATAAGCCACCAGGAGTATGTTTCCCATTTGGTACGATGACGATGAAGATGTAGATAGGGGGGTTCGTGCGTGGTGTAATGTGTTTGGTTTCGGGGTTTCCTTTGGAAATCCAAAACATGAATGTCTTAGTTGTCTGGTTGTTGTTCTGCATCTTGACATTGCTGCCACCTGATTCTTGTTTTATAGGATTAGAAGGCTGTGAAGTGGAATTGATTTCTAAGTAATAAATTTTATTTCATTTCATTTCATTAAAGAATTCTAATGTGTCGAATGAAATCTTTAGTGATAGAACTAGCCTCGGTGCCTGGTTTTACCGCGAGGCTGTATTATTTAAAAACAAAAAAATATTCAGGCATTTAAATGGGATAAAATAATGATATAAAAAATTAGTCACGATAAGATTGTAAAAAGGCTGATTAAAGTTAAGTTAACAAGCGATATTTTGTTAAACACTCGGTACAAATTATATAATTAAAATAACTTAATAAAAATACGAAGAATTATAATTTTTTTTAAAAAATAAGTTAATTTTTTAAATATGTGAGTCAATTCATTATAGTTGTCACACTCAATCTAAAAAATTTATAAAATTTAATTTTTAATAAATTAAATATAAAATCATAAAATAAATTATATACAAAATTTTTAAATAATAGCACTATAAAAAATAATCTTTAAAATTATGATTTTTTTTTATTATCATTATTAGCATTATTGTTATTAGTAATAATAATAACGATCTTTTGGATATTATTACTCTTTTCACAATTATTTTTATTATTAATATTCTCGTAATAATAGCAACAGTTTTATTGATATTATTACTATTTCACAATTATTTTTATAATTATTATTATTACTATTATGTTTATCACTTTTTATCACTGCCTTTCGTGTGCTTCATGGCCTGGGGATAGCTCTGCGCTTTCCCAAGATTTCAGGAAGTCTTCTGATCATCCCAGCACAGTTCCTGGTATCATTTTCTTTGTAGAATCAAGAGATTATCGAGCTTCACCCTGGTATGATACGGTTGCAGGTTTCACTAAGGTGACTTCTCAACTCAACTGCAGGCTTTAGTCCTTTGACACCTTCTCCGCAACAATTTTCACAGATTTCACAATATTTTCTGCAGCATTTTTAATACATTCTATGTGATTTATGACTGAATATCACTAAAAAGGACTGAATGTTGGACATCTAGTTGAATCAAACACACTGTGGTTCAACCAGATGTTCGAGTAGGATGACATTTGACACAGTTTCGGTCACCCCCACTGCATTTCCTTCAATTTCGTTGTCAAACCATCCGTGGAGGAAAAATTCATCAGTAATTAAGAGACAATTCAAAAGGTCAATGACTTCGATTCCCAGATTCAGCAAGCATACATGATTTTTTTTTTAAAGATCAAATATAAGACACGACATTTCTTGGTGTTGGGTCTATCTTTTTCTTGTAATTGTAAGATATTCTCTAGTCACCATTAATAAATTTTCTTTTATATCATTGAATTGATCATCCATCTTGTATACCGATATTATTGTAATTAGAGATTCAATATGCCTTCAAAGTCCACTTTTTTTTTTTTTTAATTTATGCCACCTAATTTAATAAATTATTTTTTGAAATGTTCTTTTTCTTTTTTTAATTTATGCCAACTAATTTAATAAATTATTTTTTGAAATGTTGTGTTTTATATCAGCAACAACTTTAAATCTCGTGTTTTATAGATACATTAACAAATTACACTAAATATTTAAACTCTGTTATTTTGATACTTTTTTGTTTTTTGAAGTGCTAATAAACGAAAAAACCCAATATTTTATTATCAAATTTTAGAAATTTTTTTAGAAGAATTACAGAACCTTCCTAAAACATGATCATCCATTATTGTCTGTTGTAATTACCTTCACTGTTTACATATACTTCGAGGACACGTATATCAAAATCGATGAATAAGGTTACAAATATGTGGAACATTTCCGCTTCTCACTTCCTCGGTGTTAAGCCATCTTCTGTGCTCGTTACTCAGGGCTGCCAGTCTGCTTCTTTCTACGGACTCCTGTTCAAAGGAAATGAAAAGGAGTAAACAAACAAAGGATGGCATGAAACAGAAAACAGGAATGCATCGATTCTTGACCGACAAAACATTTGCGAAATAATTCCAATGTGTCTTTTTAAGTCTTATAGGTGCAAGCATCTAGAATTATCCATAGACTAGTATAAATTTAAGTGTTGAGAATATTGTAATCCAAGTCCATAAAGAGAAACACAGAAGAAGCGAAGAAAGGCTAGGTGAAGGTAACAGGTTCTTATCTAAGAGATGAGGTGGTACAAGAGAGATCCCATATGATGAAAAGAACTCTAGCTAAAAGAGATGTAAGATGGAAAATGGACAAGGAGGCGTGATAGAACGCAGCAATCCGATAAAGAGTTGGGCAAATGCAAAGGTCACTTGAAAAACCAAATCTTGAAAGAGAGATGTTTGACTAATGAAATGTGGCAATAATGACAAGAGGAGAAAAATGACTAAGAGTAGCCATGTTAGGACAAATACAATTGCTAAAGCAAAGAGATTGAAGAGATGCTCAAGATGAAGATGTAAGAGAAAGGAAATTATGGCAGCAACGTAGTCTTCCAACCAACTATAATGTGACAGTAGCTACAACAAGGCAATGATTGTGTGCCGAGGGAAATGGTAACAAGAATAAGAAAGTTTGCAAGAATCGGCAACACATTTTCTAATTTCAAGGATTGTGAGATTTTTAAAATTAAGAGGGAGTGTTGGAATTAATTTTAAAGTCTACATCAAGTGTCCTTTTACTTCTTCAACGAGCATATACAAGTATTAATGATATTGTTATCCTATTAAGTATCTAGAATTATCCATACACTAGTATAAATATATGTGTTGAGTGAATTGCAATACAAGTCCAAGTCCAGGACTTCCTCTCATTTGAGAGTAATATAATATAAGTTAGAGTTCCCTTCCTACCTTCTCTCCTAATTTTCTCCAACAACAGGTACTGACATCAGAGAAACACAAGGCAAGTGATGTAAAAAGGAGAACATGTGCCTCACTTTGGTATGAAATGAGATAGAGCAGGGGAAACCATGTTCCTGGGATATATCTTTTCATAATCAAGTGAATGGGGCAGAGAGAATCAAGCACGATTTTTTGCAGCATAACGCAAAAGTGAACAACCTAGCAAGCACTGCACGCATTTCCAATGTCTTATGTACTTTGTTGCTTAACTACGAAACATCTGTGACAGAAGAATGACAACAAAAATAATTTGGTCTTAACTCATAGTATTAGAAGACAATGGTTCTGACAATTGAATAAGTCATTCTATCCAATAGGTACATTTTCTCTATCATATTTCTATGAAGAATTATCAGGATTTTAAGCTTCTTATTAACAGGAAATGGATTGGGTAATGTGCACAAGTAATAGCAGCCTAAATCTTCTATATTTATGGGTTGTAGATTATGGTCCTTGATATTTAACTACACAGCCTTTCATATGCTAAATTGTCTAAAGTCATGGGCAAGAAGATCATGGTAGTGAAGATTAACTACACAATGCCATACAGTAATTCAAGGATGAGAAAAATTAAACTTATTATCAATTGGAAATGGCAAGTGAACAAAGAACATTTTGATAAAAAGATGAAGGCAAATTAGTATCAGCCAGCAGTACAGGTCATTGACCTTAAGTAATTTAAATGGTTTCAATTCTTTTCCATAACACATGCAAGAAAGCATAAGGCACCGATATGCCAACATACAAAGAAGGAGGCTTCAATTTTGAAGGTCCTACCAGTTCTTGGTGACATGCTCCGCATGGATGTCCTTAAGAGATACTATCCATTGTACGCCTAGTAAAGTTTAAAACAAGTACAGATGACTAATTAAGGGTTGTTCAACAAGCACTTACCAGCAGGGCTCTTGCTCCAAAGGACCTGACCATCTACAGCAGTAAGGTGTTCATCATCAAGGCGCTTCCATGTTTTGACAGACTTAACAACTCCCCAACCTCCTTGCTCTGTCTTTTCCAAAGATGCCAACACCACCCTCGCTCTCCTTGACCACCCTGCCTTCCCATAGGCATGGTATCCAAAACCCCCAGCATAACAAAGTTGTATACCAGTAAGCTTACCACAGAAGTCATTGAGATGATCATGTCCGATGAAAACAGCTTTCACATCCCCAGCTTCTACCATGGTTGTGAAGAAGCCCGAGTTCACAGAAGCAGAGCTAATGCCTTCTTGTCTCACTCCTGTGAAGCTTGATGAATCAAAACTTGCAAATTCAGGCAATGGGATGTGAAAGAACACCAGCCCAGGTGCAGGTCCTTTCTGAGCCTCTGGCTCTCTCATGTATGCTCTCTGAATTGAAGGGGAAAAATGGGAATCCAACAGCTAATAAGTAAGCTAATGCAACTTTTAGAAGTTTAAACTATGCATAATGTAGATTCTACTTGTGTGTAGACAAACTAGTGACTCTTTTTACAGATAAATGATGAAAGTAAAGCATACAGTGACCTACTAATTACTTCAACCGTATAAAAGAGTGGTGTTATTACCCGAAGCTTCGCAGAGGTGCGTTGGAACCAAAGCTGCTGAGAGGGTTTAATCCAACCATAGCCAGGGATTGCAGGAACTGTGGAGTAGTCTCCGCTATCAAGGAAGTAAAGATTAAGAGCTGATTTATTTTCAAATCGTGAACCTTTAACCCCGCCAATCTCCAGGTTATAGTTCCCAAAACCATCAATGATGTGTACCTCCGCGGGATTGACTTGAGAGAGAGTATTCTTAAGGCCAACAATATGTTTCATGACCCCTTCCCTTGACAAAGTGGATTCTTGGTCATGGTTCCCCAAAATAGCAGCCCACGGGATGTTTGATGCAATTGCAGGCTGAAATGCAGCAGTCAGTGATTTTGCAGCATCCGTGGCATCAAAGCCAAAGATGTTATCCCCTATTTCACAAAGTGCCAATAATACTTCCATTAGCTCAGATTGTGAAAGGAGCATACTTTTTAGAGCTTACCCACTACATGCCATACATACTATTACCAAATTACGAAACATGCTTCGGTAAACAAATTAACAACTGGGTGTTGTTGTTTATATCCAAATTTCAGAATAACAATCATATATAGACCAAAAAAGAAAAAAGAAAAAAAATCAGAACCAAGAACATAACTAGGAATTAGGAAAGGAAATGGTAAATAAGAGTATAAGAGGTACCAGTGAAAACAATAAAATCGGGCTTCTCTGCTTGAATCATGCGCTCAACAAAGGCAGTGGTGTTGAGGTCAGAGCAAGTAGGCATCTGATTTGGGAACACATCGAGGCAAGACGTGGTCTTGCCATCCGCATAGTGCATATCTGCCACTTGCAGTATCTTGAACTGTCCATTTTTTCTAAATCGCAGCTCTTTTTTCACACCCAACACAGATTTTGGAACGAAGAAGCAGAGAGAAAAAACCACAAACCCCAAAAAGTGGGAGGGTGAAACACTTGGTGTGTTCTTCTTCGCCATCGTTGTTATCTACCTAAAATCGGCAAACCCGATTCCGTCAGCATTGTCTTACAGCTATAGATATAGGGAGAGTGGGTCTCGTCGTAGTTTGGCATGCAGCCTAAAATCAAATATTTAATAGTGCCCAAAAGGATATTCCTTTCCTTGTTGCGTGGTCTTTGGTGGTCTTTGAAAGGTGTCTTTTTTTCTAAAAAAATATTTGTTTTAGAATCAAACAGGATTTTGGGGCAACGCGAGATGGAAGACAGGGGCTGTTTTATGTTCTAATCTTTCACTCAAATATTATTTTATTTAGATCTTAATTTTGAGAACTCTACGATCAATTCAAAAAAAAAAAGTATTTGATGGAAACATTAAAAACATGATGAATAAAAAAAAAGCTCATGTATTTTATTAAAATAAAATAAAAGATAGAGTATAAGCAGTGATTTCGAGCGTTTTTTTATTTAAAAAGTAATTTAAAAAAATTAATACTTTTTAATTTGAAATTAATATTTTTTTAAAATTTAGATCATTTTGATATTTTAATATTAAAAATTTTTTAAAAAAATTAACATATTTTTAAATAAAAAATATTTTAAAAAATAATTACTATATCCTTTAAAGTTAAATAATGTATTATCAAATAATAGAAAAAATAATGAAAGACAGGCTAAAACACTTGTTTGAATTGATGTATTTAAATAAAAAAATATTAAATTTCATATACTAGATTAAAAAAAGAGAGTAAAAGATAATGTATTAATATTGTAATTAACCCTTTATTTATTTATAACAAATTGATCTTTTTATATTCGTCTACACCAACGTGATGCTAGTTTTTAAGTTTAAATGAATGTTTAGAAATTCTGTAATTTTTATTTTAATTTCCCTTGAAGATTATTAAATTAATTTTTTTTATTAATTTTCAATAATTTTAATATGTAAATATTAAAAATTAAAAAAATTATTTTAATATATTTTTAAATAAAAAATATTTTTTAAAAAAATAATTTAAACTACAATATTAAATACATGTTAAATCCTCTTTAAAAACAGTAAATTGCTTTAATATCTAATATTTTTTTAAAATTTTAGTTTCAACGTGAAAAAATATTATTTGTTTAAAATTTAAATTTTATTTAAAATTAATTTTTATATTATTTTAATATTCTAATACCAAGAATAAATTTTAAAAAATAAAAATAAAATTATTTTAATATATTTATAAAAAAAAAACTTTAAAACACCATTACCGACACATTCCAAAACAGGATAATAATTGCCCTCGCCGAAACGGATCTTGACGTGTGATTTGGTTGCACATATAACGGGGGTCATCGACCAAACACAAAAATAAGGATTTCTTGGACATATAAATGAAAAATACAAAAATGGTTGCACATATAAAATTTATTTGTCGCCACTTGAACCAATCCATTAGGATTAGCCATAACAATCGTTGACTGACCATTTCCAGTATTAATTAATAAATTATATTATTATTATTATTATAAATTATTTTTTAGACCGATCAGTTGCTAATGTTATTTACTATAATCATCAATCACCATTTTCATTTTTTAAAAGAAACATCAATATTTATATAAACAATTTCTTGCTAACTTTTACATAAACTGCGAGCTATGAAGTTGAGAAAAATAATAATGTTAAGATGATGTGCATTTTAAAAAAGAATAAAAACTAATGTTGAATAAGAAAAATCAATGTTAAATAATAAAAAAAATAAGTAAAAATACATATCAATTTATATTAATTCATTAAACTTGTGACTCGAATCATCTTACCAGAAGCAATAAATTTGAAAAAACCTCAAAAACCTGATTCTCAACTAATTAAATATTAAAAAACAAAACTAAAAAAAAACATACAAGAAGATAAAAAAAAAAAATAGCAATTGTAAGATAGAAAAAGGCTTGAGCTTGTCTAAGTTAATTTACCAAAACCACAAATCAAGTTATGAGATTAAGATAACCTAACAGAAAAAAAAATTCATGAAATCTAATTTTTAAAAAGACCAACATCAAATTATAAGATGAAAAAAAATCCAAAAAAATAATGATATCAACCCTTGTTAGCCTATAAAACACATATTTTGGGTTATTTGATTGGTAGCATCAAATATAGAAAAACAATAAAAATCAATTCTTAATGGATCAAATATTAAAAGGAGAAATAAGAAGAAAAAAAAGTTAACCACACAAAAGGATCCAGAAGGAAAAAAAAGGTGTGAACCCACTCGAATTAAGTTGTCAAATTCGTATTCTAGGTCATAAAACCAGTATAACTCTATAAAAAAGAAAATGAAGAAAATCATCAAACCTATTTTCTTTTTATAAAAAAATTCAGTATCAAGTAATTAGATCAAAAAATAAAATAACTATAAAAAATAATGAGAACCTGTGATTCAGGGCATTTGATTGGAAGTATCAAACTTGAAAAAACCACAAAGCCCAAATTTTAATAAATCAAATGTCAAAGTATGAAATTTTAAAAAAAATCAATTACCAAAAAAAAATTAAAAAAAATAACAATTAAAATAATGAGGATTAGATTTGAAAAGAAAAAACAAATTATAGGATGAATAATTTTGGATGCAAGTGCTAAATTGAAAAGAAATATCAATTTTACAAAAGAATTAAAGAAGAAACTATCAATAGAATGAATATCAAATTTAAAAAAATTAAAAAAATATTTTTTTTGATTAAATGATAAAATTGAAAACAATTAAGAGTTTACAAAAGAGACAAAAGAAAATGAAGGGAGAAAAAGAAGAATCAGGGCTAAATTTGAAAACTAAAAAAATATTAAAAAAATAAGATTGAAGGATGTAATTAAAAAAACTTATAAAAAAATAAAAATTAATACTCAAATATACTCATCCAAGATGATTTCCCTAAAATTTTAAATGCCAGACACAAGTTTTAAGGGAGGAGAAAAAAAAATTATTCTGACAATAATCTGTCGAACAAAACTCAATATGCACCACTTGTCGAGGAAGAGAACATCACGAGGAATCCAATAACATAGTAAAAAAAGAAAATTAATCATAGGAGGATGATGCAAGCACTATCAAATCGTCATGATGTCCTCCCATGCGCATGATAGGGGTTTTTATATATTTTTAATTATTACAAAATACTAATTTAACCCTCTAGCAACCTTATTATAACAAAGAAAACCAACATGAAAATACAAAAATACCCCTAAAAAAAAGCTTAAACTAATTTTGAAATAGGGGTTGTTTTAGTAAATTTATCATGTTGAAAAATATGAAATTTCTTGGGAGTGGAGGGAGCTCTTCTCTTCCTAGTCAGGCACTTCTTTTGATTCATATTGTCTGGCTTATCTTGCTTGGATTTTCTCTCTTGTTTAGGTTTTTTTAATCTGACAGATTTATAATTTAACTTTGATTATGTGATTATTTTCCCTATATATGTTATCCGTGTTGTTATGCTGGGGTTGAGATGATTAGGGTTTGTGCGAGATTTTGTGTTCAAGTAAAAATATTCATTTGAGTTAATATGATAATTGTTTTTTTTTTTTATGAATGTTATTTCTATAGTTCTATATGACTTGATCATCTTGGTGCATATAGGCATTGTATTCGAGGAACAAAAACCTCTCTTTGTTTTTTTTTTTTTTTTGAACATAAGTTTCAGTATAATTTACATTTTGGATGGTCTCTTTTGTTCTTTCCAGAGAGGTTATCTTCTGTTAGTATGAAAGAACCTATTTTATTTGTTGTGCTTGTTGATCTTTACAAGGAACAATATCATTTAGAGTTCAGTTAGTGTGTACACAAATATCGAAAATTAGACTCATATAGAAACATGTAAGGTCCTTGCAGAGGTATTTCTACGGGAAAGGATGGCACCAGTCTCTCCGCATTTTAAATGAAAAAGGATAATGTAGAATTGTCTTTGATGCATTAGAATTTCTTCAAAGGTGTTTTCATAAATTTGTGTAATTGTGCCCACGTTCATTTCAAATTTACATTTATCTTATTTATCATGCTAGCTCTCTTTTGTAGAGAAAGATTGACTTACAATAAAGATTGCTAGCTACTCCAATTCCAAATACTACTGCTAGTTTATGGGTGTTTAAAAAAAAAAACAAAGATCTTTGATCATTCTCACAATATTAACTGGCGCTACATCTCGATGGTTTTTGCATTCACTGTTTCATGCGTTGAAAAGGACCAAAAAATTCGAAGAGCAAACTTTCAATATGAAGTAGCTTCACTATAAATCTCAAACTCACGGATTTTTGCACTACCTTATTTTTTATTGTGTGCCTCATTTTTTAGTTTTCGACACCATTTCCTTTTCTTTCCATTGCAATTATTTTGGAGTAGGCATATTCATAAAATAGTTGGCCTCTAAGAAGTGTTTCAGAATAAACGACAATAGAACCAGACCGAGCATTGTCAATAACACGCACGCACTATATAAGGATATGCGAGTTTTTATCAAACGAACATCATGGGGCAAGAAGATGTTCCATTTAAATATGAAGAGATCAGACACGATAACGAATACACTAAAATTTACAAGTTAGCACACTTGATAATTGCTTCTCAAAATCATAGTTATCAAACTTGAGAAAAGGTTTGACCGGACTAAGGCAAAGTTTTGAGTTAACTCAAATCAATTTAGAAAAATGAAATAAAAATTATGTTTGAGGTTTTAGTATTTTATATGAAATTTTTTTGAAATAATATATGTGAATGTGGGCTATATTAAAAAGTGTGTAAAGCATGAAGTGTAGTATAATTATCCCATATCAAAAAATTAAGATAATCCTAAATAAAATATAGTATAGTTATTTCATATTGAAAAGTTAAATAATTTATATGAATATAGTCTAGATATAGTTATTTTATATAGAAAAATTAAGAAATAATTTATGTTGATTTTGAAAAGTTAAAAATTATTTTATGTGAATTTAGGTTATATATAGTTGTTTTATACTGTAAAGCTAAGAGATGATTTATGTAGATGTAAGCTATAAAAAAAATATAAAAAGTGAAATGTAATATAATTATTTAATATAAAAAAATTAAAAATAATAATTTATATGAATATAAGTTATATATACCTATCCAAGAAACAATCTCAGAATATGCTATAAAAAAATGTGAGGCTATGTATTTATAAATTAGTTTTTAATTTTTAGGGTTTATTAGAAATATAAAAATATAAAAATGGTTGAATTTCACTTTTTGGGTCAATAGGGTTTTAAATTAATCCGGTAAGCTATTCAAATTTGACCGAGTTAATTACATCACTGATCTTTTATGATTTGAAACGATTTTAGATTAACCCAGGTTCATCACTATGCTCCAAAGCACGCCTAAGCATTTTGGTTTTTTATTTTTCATTTATTACGGACCTGCTTTTTCGTGGTGAGAACTAAAAAAGCATGCCTATCATTCTTTACCTTCGCAACTTAGGAAATGCAAGATGCACTTTACACTTTCAAGAAATACTGTTAGCCTGTGATAAGGCCACCTTGTGCCACAGAGAGTCAGTCATGTTTTCCGATAGCCACACAACATCCCAAAGGTTGATATTGCCACAGTACCAATATGCTTTCATGGTGCGAACAGTCTTCACATCCACTTCTGAAAGGATGGATAAGCAAAGTATATTTAAGTCACCTCTAATAAATCATCATCAATAATTTACCAGCAAGTTTTCCATGCCTCCCAAAGGACATTGTCCATTATAGTAACACCCCACTTGCAAGAAGAATATCAGAACTTTCATTACAAACTATCAGGAGCTTGAGGAAACAATTTGACATAAAAAATTAAATGAGAAACAGATCTTGGGTGTGCAACAATCTGTTGTTACCATCACGTCGGTCTTATCAATTGTGATTTCGAGGGGGCAATTCAATAAACTCCCAATTCTTTCACTCTCCAGCATAAACAATAGTAAACTCATATCTACCAAATGAAGCATGCAAAACTGTCCTGTTATTTTGATCTCAAACAAAACGAAAATAAGTATCAGCGACAGTTAGTTACAGAGAAACATATTGCCTTCTGGTGCACATGACATTAAAGGGATAAATCAAGATCATTACGATCCAATACTGCTCAATGCTTATTACATTACCTGCTGGCTTCACCATGCAGGATTGGAGATTTAGGATGCACGCTGCCGGTCCATGCTTCATATTGGCCTCTTTCCTGATGATTGTTTTGGAGTACGTTATGCATAGACCACTGAAAGAAGAGTAGAGAGCAATAAGTTCCAGAGATCTCCGATCTATTAAGGCTAACTCAACAGATAATCACGAGTAGTAAATCTCTTGAACGATTGGTCAATTTTCCATATGTGCAGGTGTCTGGTATTGGCTCTTATAGTTCTATTGCTACTTGGATCTTGCTACCGTGCATGGTGGGCAGTCCCTCTGGAAGTTGGCACGAAATCATAGATCAAGTCAATATAGTAACCGAGAAACAAGAGACAATGAAAACCAGAAGCCAAGACCCAACTAAACATTTTTAAGTACCTCTGTCTCTTCAGCATTGTAGAGCGACTTGTTCAGTGCATTAGATGCTTAACTGGAAGATTTGTCAGTGCGATTTTCATTGTACAGATGGCTATCTGGCGTTCCAGTCTGTTCCATTCAGCATTCTGCTGGTCAATATCAGCAACAGAGTGGCGAGACATTGACTTGAACAACTAGTTCATGGCTCTAGATGGAGCCTGATTCAACCCAGGTATGGTACAAATGCTCGCTTCAATATTATCTGGAAGGAGTTCTTGAGAGAATCATTCACTTGCCAGCACAACTAATTCTTATGATCCTTGAACCATTCTCGTGAGGAAAAATTTGTTTCAAGGAGAATCATCTTTTTGGCGCATAATTGATGCCTTTTGGTACCTTAGCTTTTCAATCTCTTTTGCTAGAAAGTCCAAAGTCGTGTCTGTGACATGGTTTGGCAAGCAGCCTGCGTCCAACATCATTTTTAAGAATTTATATGCGTCTTTCAACCGACCTGTCTTGCTATGAACTTCAATCATAATATTATAAGTAACCACATCAGGATTTAATCCACTAGTCTTCATCTGTTCAAAAAGATTGTTAGCTTCATCAATCCTACCAGCCTTTCCCAGTGCATCAATCAGGGTGTTATACATAACAATGTCAAGGTAACCACCTTGCTTCAGTAGCTTATCTAGAACGGAGCTGGCTAGATCTGCTCTCCCCATTTTCCCCAACCCTTGAATCACCAAATTGTATGTTGCGATGTCTGGTGGGCAAACCTTTTCACCCATTTCATTAAAAACATCCCATGCCCTATTGAAATAACCCTTCTTCACAAAAGAACTCATGATAGAATTGTACGTGTAACTCAAAGGGTCCACGCCCATATCAGTGAATATCTCAAACAACTTGCAGGCTAAGCTCAGCTTTCCCTTGGCCAAAAATATAGACAAGAACGTATTCACCATATCAATATCAAAAGAGCCTGCCCCTTTAGCTTGAACTCTCTGGCCCCTAGCCAGCGAAAATAGCTGAGAAGAAAGGTCAGTGGATTTCGCTTGATTGGCCAAATGATCCATGTGCGGAGATGATGACCACTGATCAGTGTCAGCAGACGAACTCTTCTCATCCTCAGTCGCACCATCATCTGACCTTGACTTAGGGGAACTTATTGAACTCATAATTTCCTGGAGGCCACCAGTAGATGGAAACAATGGAGTATAATCCTCTCTACTTCTAGGTGGATTTTTCAATGAAGCCTCCATATCTGCCCTCCATTTGAGAACATTTGGTAATAGATTAACATCCCTTATGTGCTTCATCAAACTCTCTGTGCAATCCCACCTACCTTGTTTATGAAATGCAATCAAGAGCGATGTTATAGTAATTAGGTCAACAACAAAGCCTCTTTCCTCCATTTCTTCCACTAAGTGCAGTGCTTCCTCAAGATGACCTTTCCTACAAAGTAGCAACACAACAATGCTGTAGGTAACAGCATCCACAAATTGACCCTTCTTCTTCAAACGACAAAATAAATTGTAACCAGCTTCAGCCCTGCCATTCTTGCACAACCCATCAATCAGAATATTGTACGTCCAACATGAGGCCCTCACTCCATCCTGAACCATCTTCTCGAACAACTGGCATGCTTCCATAACTTTCCTTGCCTTGAACATCCCATCTAAAAGAGAATTGTACACTACGGTATCTGGTAGGAACCCATTGTACTGCATTTCACTAAAAATCTTTGTTGCATCTTCCATTTGATAAGATTTACAGCACCCTTGTATAAGTATTCGATAAGTAAAGGCATCAGGCTCATGACCAGACACCTTTAATTCCTCATACACAATCACTGCGTCCTTCACCTTCCCAGCCAAGCATAGAACATGAATCAGGCTTTTATAGGTGCACAAATCAGGATCCAGTGACCCAGAAGCCAAACTCTTTTCCTTCATCTCTTTAAAAAGCCTCAAAGAAGTAGTCAGATCACCCCAACAACCAAATGCATGAATGCAGATGTTATAACCCCATGTATTCAACTCGAACCCCCTTTCCCCCCTCAATTTAGCAAAAACAGTCTTGAATTCTGCTTTCATTTCTCCATTTCGAAGCGCAACCAACAACGCGTTGCATGCAACGGAGCCCGGAAGTGAAACACCAACAGCATTCTCTTCATTACCATTAGAAGCTTCTAGAAGCTTAAACATTATAGACAATGCTAAACCCACCTGGTTTTTCTTAGCAAGTGCAACGATAATAGAATCATACATATGGGGGTTCGGGTTAGATCCTAATTCCTCCATGTGATCAAGAATGTCAAGGGAAGAGTCAAACTTCCCAGATCGAATAAATGCATCAAGCAACAACTTAAATGCATCATTCTTCATTGAATTTAGCAAATTAAAGTCTCGGACCCAACAACAACACCATCATTCTTCATTGAATTTAGCAAATTAGGAACTTCTTCAAGGTACCCAGAACGGCACAAAGTGGAAAACATTTCAGAGTATGTGCTCACCGAGTGTTTGTAAATATGCCGGAGAGAACACCATTTGAAAAACTCCATTTTCGTAGAGCTGTCAAGAGAGTTCCTCCGTAGGATTTGGAGAACCAGAGATTCTGATAGAGGAATTGAATCTGGGTCCAGACTACGAGTGCCCGACTCGGAGAGGGTCTTGGTTAGATAAGCCACCAGGAGTGTGTTTCCCATTTGGTACGATGACGATAAAGATGTAGATAGAGGGGTTCTTGCGTGGTGTAATATGTTTGGTTTCGGGGTTTCCTTTGGGAATCCAAAACATGAATGTCTTAGTTGTCTGGTTGTTGTTCTGCATCTTGACATTGCTGCCACCTGATTCTTGTTTTATAGGATTAGAAGGCTGTGAAGTGGAATTGATTTCTAAGTAATAAATTTTATTTCATTTCATTTCATTAAAGAATTCTAATGTGTCGAATGAAATCTTTAGTGATAGAACTAGCCTCGGTGCCTGGTTTTACCGCGAGGCTGTATTATTTAAAAACAAAAAAATATTCAGGCATTTAAATGGGATAAAATAATGATATAAAAAATTAGTCACGATAAGATTGTAAAAAGGCTGATTAAAGTTAAGTTAACAAGCGATATTTTGTTAAACACTCGGTACAAATTATATAATTAAAATAACTTAATAAAAATACGAAGAATTATAATTTTTTTTAAAAAATAAGTTAATTTTTTAAATATGTGAGTCAATTCATTATAGTTGTCACACTTAATCTAAGAAATTCATAAAATTTAATTTTTAGTAAATTAAATATAAAATAATAAAATAAACTATATACAAAAATTTTAAAAATAGCAATATAAAAAATAATCTTCAAAATTATGATTACTATTATTATTAATAAGTAATATAATTATTATTTTTATTATCATTATTAACATTATTATTATTAGTAATAATAGTAACAGTTTTATTGATATTATTACTATTTTCACAATTATTTTTATAATTATTATTTTCATTATTAATATTACGGTAATAATAGCAACAATTTTATTGATATCATTACTATTTTTACAATTATTTTTACAATTATTATTATTATTATTATTATTATAACTACTTTACTATTATTATTTTTATCACTGCGTTTTCGTGTGCTTCATGGCCTGTGGATAGCTCTGCGCTTTCCCAAGATTTCAGGAAGTCTTTTGATCATCCCAGCACAGTACCTTGTATCATTTTCTTTGTAGAATCAAGTGATTATCGAGCTTCACCCTTATATGATACAGTTGCAGGTTTCACTAAGGTCCTCTCAACCGAAGGCTTTAGTCCTTTGACACCTTCTCCGCAACAATTTTCACAGATTTCACAATATTTTCTGCAGCATTTTTAATACATTCTATGTGATTTATGACTGAATATCACTAAAAAGGACTGAATGTTGGACATCTAGTTGAATCAAACACACTGGTTCAACCACATGTTCGAGTAGGATGATATTTGACGGAGTTTCGGTCATCCCCACTGCAATTCCTTCAATTTCGTTTTCAATCCATCGGTGTAGGAAAAATTCATCAGTAATTAAGAGATAATTCAAAAGGCCAATGACTTCGATTCCCAGATTCAGCAAGCATACATGATTTTGTTTTTAAAGATCAAATATAAGAGACGACATTTCTTGGTGTTGGATCTATCTTTTTCTTGTAATTGTAATCGCTCATTATAAGATACACTCTAGTCACCATTAATAAATTAGAGATTTTAATTTATGCCAACTCATTTAATATGCCTTCAAAGTCCTCTTCTTCTTCTCTCTTTTTTTTTTTTTAATTTATGCCAACTCATTTAATAAATTATTTTTTGAAATGTTGTGTTTTATATTAGCAACAACTTTAAATCTCGTGTTTTATAGATACATTAACAAATTATACTAGACATTTAAACTGTGTTATTTTGATACCTTTTTTTTTAAGTGTTAATAAACAAAAATACCCAATATTTTATTATCAAATTTTAGAAAAATTTTTGGAAGAATTACAGAACCTTCCTAGAACATGATTATCCATTATTGTCTGTTGTAATTACCTTCACTGTTTACATTTACTTCGAGGACACGTATATCAGAATCGATGAATAAGATTACAAATACGTGAAACGTTTCCGCTTCTTACTTCCTCGGTGTCAAGCCATCTCATGTGCTCGTTACTCAGGGCTGCCAACTGTTCAAAGGAAACGAAAAGGAGTAAACAAACAATAAAATCATAAAATAAATTATATACAAAATTTTTAAATAATAGCACTATAAAAAATAATCTTTAAAATTATGATTTTTTTTTATTATCATTATTAGCATTATTGTTATTAGTAATAATAATAACGATCTTTTGGATATTATTACTCTTTTCACAATTATTTTTATTATTAATATTCTCGTAATAATAGCAACAGTTTTATTGATATTATTACTATTTCACAATTATTTTTATAATTATTATTATTACTATTATGTTTATCACTTTTTATCACTGCCTTTCGTGTGCTTCATGGCCTGGGGATAGCTCTGCGCTTTCCCAAGATTTCAGGAAGTCTTCTGATCATCCCAGCACAGTTCCTGGTATCATTTTCTTTGTAGAATCAAGAGATTATCGAGCTTCACCCTGGTATGATACGGTTGCAGGTTTCACTAAGGTGACTTCTCAACTCAACTGCAGGCTTTAGTCCTTTGACACCTTCTCCGCAACAATTTTCACAGATTTCACAATATTTTCTGCAGCATTTTTAATACATTCTATGTGATTTATGACTGAATATCACTAAAAAGGACTGAATGTTGGACATCTAGTTGAATCAAACACACTGTGGTTCAACCAGATGTTCGAGTAGGATGACATTTGACACAGTTTCGGTCACCCCCACTGCATTTCCTTCAATTTCGTTGTCAAACCATCCGTGGAGGAAAAATTCATCAGTAATTAAGAGACAATTCAAAAGGTCAATGACTTCGATTCCCAGATTCAGCAAGCATACATGATTTTTTTTTTAAAGATCAAATATAAGAGACGACATTTCTTGGTGTTGGATCTATCTTTTTCTTGTAATTGTAATCGCTCATTATAAGATACACTCTAGTCACCATTAATAAATTAGAGATTTTAATTTATGCCAACTCATTTAATATGCCTTCAAAGTCCTCTTCTTCTTCTCTCTTTTTTTTTTTTTAATTTATGCCAACTCATTTAATAAATTATTTTTTGAAATGTTGTGTTTTATATTAGCAACAACTTTAAATCTCGTGTTTTATAGATACATTAACAAATTACACTAAATATTTAAACTCTGTTATTTTGATACTTTTTTGTTTTTTGAAGTGCTAATAAACGAAAAAACCCAATATTTTATTACCAAATTTTAGAAATTTTTTTAGAAGAATTACAGAACCTTCCTAAAACATGATCATCCATTATTGTCTGTTGTAATTACCTTCACTGTTTACATTTACTTCGAGGACACGTATATCAGAATCGATGAATAAGATTACAAATACGTGAAACGTTTCCGCTTCTTACTTCCTCGGTGTCAAGCCATCTCATGTGCTCGTTACTCAGGGCTGCCAACTGTTCAAAGGAAACGAAAAGGAGTAAACAAACAAGGGATGGCATGAAACAGAAAACAGGAATGCATCGATTCTTGACCGACAAAACATTTGCGAAATAATTCCAATGTGTCTTTTTAAGTCTTATAGGTGCAAGCATCTAGAATTATCCATAGACTAGTATAAATGTAAGTGTTGAGAATATTGTAGTCCAAGTCCATAAAGAGAAACACAGAAGAAGCGAAGAAAGGCTAGGTGAAGGTAACAGGTTCTTATATAAGAGATGAGGTGGTACAAGAGAGATCCCATATGAAGAAAAGAAGAGAGAGCTCTTGCTAAAAGAGATGGAAAATGGACAAGGAGGCGTGATAGAAGGCAGCAATCTGACAAGCAGTAGGGCAAATACAAAGGTCACTTGAAAAACCAAATCTTGAAAGAGAGATGTTTGACTAATGAAATGTGGCAATAATGACAAGAGGAGAAAAATGACTGAGTAGCCATGTTAGGACAAATACAATTGCTAAAGCAAAGAGATTGAAGAGATGCTCAAGATGAAGATGTAAGAGAAAGGAAATTATGGCAGCAACGTAGTCTTCCAACCAACTATAATGTGACAGTAGCTACAACAAGGCAATGATTGTGTGCCGAGGGAAATGGTAACAAGAATAAGAAAGTTTGCAAGAATCGGCAACACATTTTCTAATTTCAAGGATTGTGAGATTTTTAAAATTAAGAGGGAGTGTTGGAATTAATTTTAAAGTCTACATCAAGTGTCCTTTTACTTCTTCAACGAGCATATACAAGTATTAATGATATTGTTATCCTATTAAGTATCTAGAATTATCCATACACTAGTATAAATATATGTGTTGAGTGAATTGCAATACAAGTCCAAGTCCAGGACTTCCTCTCATTTGAGAGTAATATAATATAAGTTAGAGTTCCCTTCCTACCTTCTCTCCTAATTTTCTCCAACAACAGGTACTGACATCAGAGAAACACAAGGCAAGTGATGTAAAAAGGAGAACATGTGCCTCACTTTGGTATGAAATGAGATAGAGCAGGGGAAACCATGTTCCTGGGATATATCTTTTCATAATCAAGTGAATGGGCAGAGAGAAAATCAAGCATGATTTTTTGCAGCATAACGCAAAAGTGAACAACCTAGCAAGCACTGCACGCATTTCCAATGTCTTATGTACTTTGTTGCTTAACTACGAAACATCTGTGACAGAAGAATGACAACAAAAATAATTTGGTCTTAACTCATAGTATTAGAAGACAATGGTTCTGACAATTGAATAAGTCATTCTATCCAATAGGTACATTTTCTCTATCATATTTCTATGAAGAATTATCAGGATTTTAAGCTTCTTATTAACAGGAAAT